CTGTACTGCTACTTTTAGCTTTTTGCTACTGTTCTGCTGCTTTTAGCTTTTAACTACTGTACTGCTACTTTTAGTTTTTAGCTACTGTAATGCTTCTTTTTGCCTGTAGCTATAAGTTAGCTAATTTTAGCTTTTAGCTACTGTACTGCTACTTTTAGTTTTTAGCTACTGTACTGCTTCTTTTTGCCTGTAGCTACAAGTTAGCTAATTTTAGCTTTTAGCTACTGTACTGCTAATTTTGGCTTTCAAATAATCCAAATAAACACAGAGGCATAGGAACCCTGATGGATCAGAATCTGGATCTGATGGGTTTAGGTCCAGTTAAACTCAGAACCAGATGGACGGGAACTAAAAGTTGTTCGTGTTTGTTTCTCTTACAGGTGATGAGTACGACACAGGTGAGGTCCATTTCCTGTCAGGTAGACCCGTCAGAACCAGAACCTGTTGTGAATGTAGCTGTAACATGTCGGGTCGCTGAGATGAACAGCTGTTCTTATTCAGTAACAGGAAGTGATGTCACTTCCTGTTTCACTTTAGCCACGCCTAGTTAAATAATGTAACGTGACAAAATGGGTCAAATTGTGTTTTATGCTGAATTTCTTTTATACGACAGCCGAACGTTAACGTTTGTCAGCTGTTCTGTTTTTAATGGAACTGAGCGATCTCAAGCGTCGGGCGTTGTTTCAGAGTTCAGAGACCTGGACGAGCTGACGACGACCGGAGCCTCCGAGCTGACGGTGAACGCCAACAACCTCCGCGGTGAGTGAGGCTTTGAAACGACCCGCGGGTCTGACCCGAGCTCAACCCGCGTGTCCTTTGATCCGAACAGTGTCCGGCGTCGAAGCGTCCTGCCGCCTGGCGCGTGACGACCTGCACCAAATGTCCACCTACAAGGATGACATCATCGACGTGGGACGAGCGTAAGTTGGACTCGCCCGGCTCGAACAGAATTCACTGCAGGCCCGGCGTGTCAGAACTGGTTTGGTCCGGCGTGTCAGAACTGGTTTGGTCTGGCGTGTCAGAACTGGTTTGGTCCGGCGTGTCAGAACCGGTTTGGTCCGGCGTGCCAGAACTGGTTTGATCAGGCGTGTCAGAACTGGTTTGATCTGGCGTGCCAGAACTGGTTTGGTCCGGCGTGTCAGAACCGGTTTGGTCCGGCGTGCCAGAACTGGTTTGATCTGGCGTGTCAGAACTGGTTTGGTCTGGCGTGCCAGAACTGGTTTGGTCTGGCGTGTCAGAACTGGTTTGGTCCGACGTGCCAGAACTGGTTTGGTCTGGCATGTCAGAACTGGTTTGGTCCGGCGTGTCAGAACTGGTTTGGTCCGGCGTGTCAGAACTGGTTTGGTCTGGCGTGTCAGAACTGGTTTGGTCCGGCGTGTCAGAACTGGTTCGTAGAGGATCCAGTACTCGACACCCGAGGGCAGCAGGAAGGTTCACGCTCTGTCCCCCCCGTGAGACACTTTGTTGGACAGTCCTGACGTGACTCTGTCCTCTGCTGCAGGCTCCACCTCCACCCCGCCCTGATCGCTGCCATCATCTCCAAACAGTCCCGGGCCGGAACCGCCCTGAAGGAAAGCGGCTTTGGACTGTACGCCGACTGCTTCGGGCTCATGCAGGTCTGTGGTTGATGGTTCCTGTCTGTGTGTCCGACGGTCTCCGGCTGACCCGGGTCCTTCTTGGTGCAGATCAGTAAGAGGTTCCACGTGGGGAAGGGAGAACCTTTCAGCAGGGACCACATCGACGAGGGAACCACGTACCTGATCCACCTCATCAAGACCATGAAGAACCGGGAGGAGACCTGGACCCGGGAGCAGCACCTCAAAGGTACAAACTGCCTCCTTGAGTCCTGTTTAGAGTCTGGGTCCAGTTCTCGTTTCTGTAAACCTCCACGCGGGCCGACTCTTGTAGACCGGGTCAATGGTTCAGCTCTGAGACCTAAAGAGAGTCCCTTGGTCTGTTCCAGGAGCGCTGGTCGGGTACATGATCGGGATCGAAGGCGTTCCTCGAGACCATCCTGACAGCTTGGACAGCCTCACACCAACGAAGGACTTCGCCAACGATGTCATCGCCAGAGCCAAAGTTTTTGCCGGCGAAGGCTACGTTTGAAATCCTGCTGCCACAGAACGAGGCTCCGCTGGCCCCGCGCAGGATTTTATAACTTTCAACGTATTTATTTGAAGATGTCACATTTTACAGATTGAACTAAAGCAAACAGCAGCGGTCCTTATCAGCCAAAACATTACGACGCCCAGTTTCGCCTGTTTTTATGTTTCCTCGTGGTCCGGAGGGTTCAGGTTGTGTTTGAACGTTGAACTAAAGGAAGAACCCCTGCAGGTCCGTGTCAGTTTGTCCATGTGTGAAGGTCTCAGAAGGTTTTTATTGATGTTGAGATGTGAAGTGTCGTCTCAGCCGTGGAGTTAACGGAAGACGACTCAGGAAACACCACAGACCTCCAGGTGCTGTGAGACTCGAGCTTTCTGACCAACGTTTACAAGTTGAACTTCTGAAGTCTTCCAAAGAGCCCAAGGTGTCTGGATGCTTCTCGACATGAAGGTGAATCCTAACGTTGGACCTTCTGCTCTCCTCAGGGACTTTCTTCAGAGCGAAGCAGTTCTCCTCTCTGATGATGGTCATAGAAAAGGTCCTGCAGTTTGTTCAGAACCGATCACAAGAACCGAGGATGACAAACATCCGCTGACAGAAACCAAAGATCGGCTACTTGAACCAGGGTTTAGCTTTGTGTTTGAGTATTTCGGCTGCTGACGGCGAGTGTGCACGTCTACAAACCAACGATAACTCATGAAAAGTACGTGTAACCAAGGCCAGGCTGGGTGCGAAGTGGACTGAGGTGGACAACATAGAAATGTGCACGGCTGTGGCTCGTGCACGGAACAGAAAGAGGCCACATTAAAAAAAACCTGTTCAACAGGTTCTGGTCCCAAAACGCAGAGTTCAGCGAGACGTAAAAGAAAAAGGTGATTCTGTTTGAGCAGATGGGTTGAGTCTCTGACTCATCTTTAACTAGTCTGATTAATCTATAACTAGTCTCAAACTCAACTATAACTAGTCTGATTTATCTTTAACTAGTCTCCAACTCAGATATAACTAGTCTATAACTAGTCTGATTAATATTTAACTAGTCTGATTAATCTATAACTAGTCTCAAACTGAACTATAACTAGTCTATAACTAGTCTGATTAATCTTTAACTAGTCTGATTAATATTTAACTAGTCTGATTAATATTTAACTAGTCTGATTAATCTATAACTAGTCTGATTAATCTATAACTAGTCTCCAACTCATTGATAACTAGTCTATAACTAGTCTGATTAATCTATAACTAGTCTCCAACTCAGCTATAACTAGTCCATAACTAGTCTGATTAATCTATAACTAGTCTCAAACTAAGCTATAACTAGTCTATAACTAGTCTGATAATCTTTAACTAGACTGATTAATATTTAACTAGTCTGATTAATCTATAACTAGTCTCAAACTGAGCTATAACTAGTCTATAACTAGTCTGATTAATCTTTAACTTGTCTGATTAATCTTTAACTAGTCTGATTAATATTTAACTAGTCTGATTAATCTATAACTGATTAATCTATAACTAGTCTCCAACTCATTGATAACTAGTCTATAACTAGTCTGATTAATCTATAACTAGTCTCCAACTCAGCTATAACTAGTATATAACTAGTCTGATTAATCTTTAACTAGTCTGATTAATATTTACCTAATCTGATTAATCTAACTAATCTGATTAATCTATAACTAGTCTACAACTCATCTATAACTAGTCTTCATCTGTTCTCCACCAGTCCCAGCTCGGTGAGGTCCTGGTTGTCGTATGAATCGTACCACGAGGGAAAACTTGTATTGTTTCATTTTATCCGTTAATTAAATAAAAACAAAACCAGACTGAGGATGAACTTAGTCTCAGATGAACTCAGTCTACAAAAATGAACTCGGTCTCAGATTAACTTAGTCTCAGATGAACTCTGTGTCAGATGAACTCAGTCTACAGATGAATTCAGTCTCAGTTTAACTTAGTCTCAGATGAACTCAGATGAACTCTGTGTCAGATGAACTCAGTCTCAGTTTAACTCAGTCTACAGATGAACTCAGTCTCAGATTAACTCAGTCTACAG